TTGTACAATTTCAATCTTTTTGAATCTACTAAGGCTCTTTTTGTGGCTAGTATGTGGTCTATTCTGGAAAATGTTCCATGTGCACTTGAGAAGAATGTGTATCCTGCTGCTTTTGGGTGCAGTGTTCTGTAGATGTCTGTTTGGTCCTTCTGTTCTAGTGTGTTGTTCAGTGCCTCTGTGTCCTTACTTTCTCTGGTTGTTCTGACCTTTGAACTGAGTGGTGTGTTGAAGTCCCCTAAAATGAATGCATTGCCTTCTATTTCCCCTTTAATTCTGTTAGTATTGGATGTACATATATCGGTGGTCCTGTGTTGGTTGCAGATATTTATAATGGTTATATCCTGTTGTTGGACTGACCTTTATATAATATCCTTCTTTGTCTATTGTTACTTTCTTTGTTTTGAAATCTATTTTGTCTAATAGAAGTACTGCAACTTCTGCTTGTTTCTATTATTTGCATGAATTATCTTTTTCCATCCCTTGACTTTTAGTCTGTGTATGTCTTTGGGTTTGAGGTGAGTCTCTTGTAAGCAGCATATAGATGGGTCTTGCTTTTTTATCCATTCTGTAACTCTATGTCTTTTGATTGGTGCATTCAGTCCATTTACATTTAGGGTGATTATCGATAAATATGTACTTATGGCCATTGCAGGCTTTGGATTTGTGGTTACCAAAGGTTCAAGGGCAGCTTCTTTACTAACAGTCTAACTTAACTCGCTTATTATTCTATTACAAACACAACCTAAAGGTTGTTTTTTTGTCTCCCTTCTTTTTCTTCCTCCTCCACTCTTTATATGTTAGGTGTCATATTCGATACTCTTTGTGTATCCCTTGGTTGGCTTTGTGGGTAGCTGATTTAATTTTGCATTTGCTTAGTAATTAATTGGTCTACTTTCTTTACTGTGGTTTTATTTTCTCTGGTGACAGCTATTTAGCCTTAGGAGCACTTCCATCTAGAGCAGTCCCTCCAAAATACACTGTAGAGATGGTTTGTGGGAGGTAAATTGTCTCAACTTTTGCTTATGTGGAAATTGTTAAATCTGTGCTTCAAATTTAAATGATAATCATGCTGGATACAGTATCCTTGGTTCAAGGCCCTTCTGTTTCATTGCATTAGATATATGATGCCATCCTCTTCTGGCCTGTAAGGTTTCTGCTGAGGAGTCTGATGATAGCCTGATGGGTTTTCCTTTGTGTGTGATCTTTTTTATCTCTCTGACTGCTTGTAATACCCTGTCCTTGTCTTTGATCTTTGCCATTTTAATTATTATGTGCCTTGGTGTTGTCCTCCTTGGGTCTCTTGTGTTGGGAGATCTGTGCACCTCCATGGCCTGAGAGCCTATTTCCTTCTCCAGACTTGGGATCTTTTCAGGAATTACTTCTTCAAAGACACTTTCTATCCCTTCTTCTCTTTCTTCTTCTTCTGGTACCCCTGTAATGTGAATATCGTTCCATTTGGATTGGTCAGAAAGTTGTCTTATTATTCTTTCATTCCTAGAGATCCTTTTTTCTCTCTGTGCCTCAGCTTCTCTGTGTGCCTGCTAATTTCTAACCCATTCACCATCTCCTCTACCTCCTCTAGTCTGCTTCTAAATCCCTCCATTGTATGTTTCATTCCAGTTACTGTATTTTTCAAAGTCTCTCTCTCTTTCTTGAATTTGTCCCTGAGATCTTGGATATTTTTCTGCAGCTCCGTTAGCATGATCATGATTTTTCTTTTGAAATCTTTATCAGGAAGATTAGTGATTTCAGGTTTACTGAACCTACTCTCTGGTGTCTGAGGGATTTGGGGCTGAACAAGGTTCTTCTGCCTTTTCATAATCCTCCAGAATACTGTGGAATGATAGCTTTGTGTAGGTGGCGCCCTCTAGTGCCCAGAAGCTCTCCTCTCCAGAGCTGCCCAGCACTTGCAGTGATGGTTGAGGTCGCAGGCGAGTGGTGCCGGTGCCTGCCAGGATCAAAGAGCTCTTTCCTGCTTCCAAGATGCAGTGCCTGCCTCCATTGCCAGGGCCAGGGAGCGGAGTGTGCAGAGAGCAGTTTCTTGGCTATGCCCCTGTAGCTGCTGTAGGCTGGGCTGCCCTCTGGCTGGCCTGGGGTTGATGATGGGGGCAGCAGGCTTGAGAGCTGGTGCCAGCGGGGAGGAAGGAGCGGCAGGCTGCGTATCAGTGGGTGGCCTCAGCGCTGTGTTGCAGCCAGGGGAATGGAGGGCATGAAGCGCCCCCAAGTTCCCAACCTGCTGGGCTGAGTGCACCGGGATGATTTTGTCCACCTGTCCTTTCTCCTGAGCAGAAGCTCTGTGTAATCCTTGCCCCTTTCGCAACCCTCTCACTGTTGGGAAGTCTTTCAAAGCGCCCACCTTTCCTTTGTCCCAGAGCGGCTCATTGTGGGTACCTGTTCTCCACAAATGGCTGAAATCTCAGTCTCTCCAAGTATTCCACCTGTCTTTGCTTTCCAACCCCTGTCATCCCCAGAGGACCATGCAATGTGGGTTCATGTTCCTGGAGTAGATCTTCAGCAGTCCTAGGCTTGCACTCCTTCCTCACTCCATTTTTCTTCCTCCTGTTGGTGAGCTGGGGTGTGGGGAGGGCTTGGGTCCTGCCAGATCACAGCTTTGTTGCTTTACCCTTTCCCGTGAGATCTCTTTTCTCCAGATGTAGGCAGTCTGTTGCAGTCTTCCTTCTGGTCACTCGTTTAGGATTAGTTGTATCTGCTGTATTTTCATATTATATGTGGTTTGGGGAGGAGATTTCTGCCTCACTTCTCATGCCATCTTTTTCTGGTCTCCCCTCAGGCTGCTTTTATTTGCCTGTCTTCCACCCCACATGCCTTCTTCCCAGGCGTGATCAGAGGCAGGGCTCCCTTTCCAGGGAGAAGGAACAGGCCAGAAGACAGAGCCAAAGGGATAATGGCAAAACAACAAACCCCAAACACAGAATTTAAAACCTGGAGCTGAGGTGATACGATCAGGGTGTCCTCATGTTGCAGAGCGGGTACGTTCCTAAAATGTATTGCTGTATCTTACCATGAGGATACATAAAATCTGTCCAAGGTGCATCCTGGCAGCGGGTTTCAGACTCAAGAACAGAGAATTTTAATCCTCATTTTCAGATGGAGAAACTATAGTGTGATGCCTCCCTGGCAGTGCCAGGCAGCGAACATGAGCATGTTCCACATCCCAGAGTTGTGGTGGGTTGAGTTTAGAAAGGAAAGTGGGTAAGGTGAAGGTGGGGTGCCTGCAGGCCACAGGCCACCCAGCATGCATGGTCGTCAATAGCACACACAGACACGGCCAAGATGGGCTCATTCCTGCTGAGCCACACCCTCGTCCACACCCAGGTCACAGGCAGGGCCAAACTGGGCAAACACTGGGCCAGTGGGACCCTTTTTCCATATCACACCCTGTGGCCCCGCCCGTCCTGGGGAAGCCTCATCTGCAGGAGGCTGAACATCAGTTACCTGGCAGGCAGTCCCTGCCACCCTGTAGCCCATGCAGGGCTGGCCTGACATCCAGCGCTGGGGCCTCCTGCTGGGCCCCCACACCTTGAAGATGGGTCACATGGTCAGAGGAGGAGTGGGGCCACCCTCAGGCTTGGATCCTGCAAGCAGAGCTGGCAAAGGGGCCAGTACCCAGCTGGGGGCAGGTGCAGAGACAGCACAGGAAGGGTGCAGTGTCCAGGGACACTGGGGGTGTTACCTGGAGATTAAGGGCCTTGAGGGCTCAAGTCACCACAGCCAGAAGGCTGTGTTGGGGGGCCTGGCAGGCAGATGAACCCAGGGAACCCAGGCCCTGCTTCCAGCCCCTGCTTGTGAGCTCAGGCGACCCCACGGAGCCAAGGGGCAGCTCCTGGCAGATCTGGGGCAGGCAGGGTCGTGGCGAGCCTGGATTAGCAGACTAAGGGATGGAGGGCCTAGCCAGTGCTGACTTCCCCATAACTGAGCTTCAAGGGGAGTGTGCCACTACAACCCTGGCTGAGCCCTGGGTGATGTGATGGGGACTGTCCTTCAGTTTAGTTTGAAAACAACGGGCCACTGCCTTGACCGCCTGATTGAGGGTCTAGGCAGCCCCCAGTCCCCAGCCCAAGCCAGGCTGGCAGAGAGGGCTGGAGGCCGCTCTGGGACACAGCTTGCCTGGCAGGGTGGAAGGGTGCAAGGGCCCCTGGAGGCTGGAGAGACAGCAGCCACTGGGCCTCATGGGCACCAGCCAGGGGAGTGAGGACCTGCCAAGGTCCAGAAGACAGAGTGGCCGCAGTGGATCTGGGGCCCTGGACCTGCCTCTCCAACCACCTGAAGCGGCTCCTGCTGGAGGCAAGAACATGCAGACCCGGAATGTCTGTGACCTGCAACATCCCCATTTCCTGGAGGGAAGGTGAAGGCAGCCTCCCCAGAAGTCTCGACGCCCTTGCTCTGCCACATGAGCTGCACAAGGAGAGGCTTGCCTTTCACCTTGGAAACTGGGAAGCTGGGTCTGTGGACGGCACACGCCCCACCCGCCTGCCACCACGCTGGGGACTTCCCAACAGAAACATGCATTACCAGGCGTGGTGTGGCCACTCTGCAGGGCACCACGTCCCATCGTGTCCCACCCCTCCCCACCTGCCACGCATGCTAACCCCACAGTGGTGCTCAGGCCAGGGCCTCCGAGCCCACTCACCCCCTCTCCTCAGCACTGTTTCCTTTGGACGTTGACTGACTGCACCCCAAAGGATGACGAAGCCTTTAGCTACACCAGAGCCACCTTGGGGTTTGTTCTGAGAACTCTCATTCACAAATGATTTCTAAACAGAATTTCTATTTTGATTGGAATCCTTGTCCAAAAACTTGGCAATACAGGTAAATACATTTCCCCTCATAAAAAGGGCCTTTAAGGAGCATGCCTCTTTCAAGGGCCTTTCCAGCTGGTCCACAGCTGCGAATGGAAGGTGTGCCCCATGGGACCAGGGCCAGGTGGTGTCTTCCCTGTAGAACAAAGTGACCAAACACCAAGGCAAAAAAGCAGCAAGTGGATCAAAAAAAGGTTTATTTGAATATTTAATTTAAAAAAATCATACCTATGAGATGTGCTACAGAAATTTAGATACAGTAATTGCATATAAAACCCGACCTAACTGTGGTAAAGCAAGGATCCCGCAGACGCACTTCAGGGAAGAGGCCACGCCCCTTGTCATGAACGCCCCAAGCACCCAAGGCCATGCCATGTGCCCCCTTGGACACTGCCCGACCACGGGCAGGCGTCGCTGGGCTGCTGGTCTCTCGGGAAGGCAACGCGCCTCACGTGGCCTCCACAGGGGCATCTGGGTCAGAGCCCTCCCTCTGGTTCACTTCGTGTTTGTAGCCAAGTCACTCAATCAAGCATTACTGTCCTTTGACATATTTTGGCAAAAAAGCGCATGACTTCGATGGGCAGAACGTTTTAGGCAGTCTGTGACAGAGAAGGCACCTGCCCTCCCACAGAACAGACAGCTGGACTGCGCAGGCCAGGGCGGGGCGGGCAATCTGAAAGGACACTGAGTGCTGGGGGCGGGAGGAGGGCACAGCGTCGGGGCAGATGAGGAGGCGGCCTGGCAGAGGGACCGGGTCTTTGGGAAAACCTGTCAAATGCCATGAATGCAAGGCTGCCCCACATGATGCTAAGCTACCCGAACTCCAGCCGTTTCTGAGTCTGACTTCCCGCCAGGCCCTCCCACTTCCTCCAAATGGAGGCCTTGGGGCAGTGACTGCAGGCCAGTGCCCCCACACCGCCCAAGCGGCCCACAAAGGAGGGAGCGATCTTCGTGCTGGTCATGGGGTCCTGACTGATGACAGAGGGGCAAGGACAACACGCCAAGAGAACTACAAGTCCCTGAAGTGGCTCAGCGTGACATCAATTTGGCAAGAAAGGAAATACCTTAAACGCATAAAAATAATTACCCAAGTCCTCCTAAGAAACATGACCGCAATATATTAGCAAATTCTGTGGCATAAACATTTCCCAGGCATGAGCAGAAGCTTAAAATGTAAAGCAGGATGTGCGGCCCCGGGCCTGAGCAGGCACAGAAGGCAGGGCGGGCGGGCGGGGCCGGAGTTACTGCCGCAGCTCCACGTAGTTGGCCGGGAAGAGCCCGTACCTGCCCTTGCAGAGCCCGCGCCACCAGCCGTCATCTATCATTTCAATGTTGGTGATGATGTCATCCGGGTCGAAGGAGATTTCATCATCACCCGCTGGAAGATGGCACAAGGGGGGACAGACAGTGGAACCCCATGCCCCCTGCCGGCTGCAAGAGCACGGGCTGGGGACAGGGCAGGGCCCTCACACCAACCACCTGCTTCGTGACCTGGCTGCAGCCCTGCCTGCCTGCCGTCCCCGGGGACCTGGGGGTGTGGCAATGGGCCAGGGTGGCTGAGTGGTCAGGGCCCTGAGGTACATGTGTGGGGATGGCAGGACTGGGAGGTGCTAGGGTAACTCACCACGTTCTAGAAGTTATCCAGACCCCAGAGTCTCCCTGCAGCACACACGGGAATATACGTGTGCACGTGTACGCACAAGGGTGGGGGGAAGTTCTCCCTCGGCCAAAGGCCGACCACCACGACTGGAGGGGACTAGAGAGGGACCCAGGGACCTGGGTCCCGGGACAAGATCCCAGAGGAGACAGCACCCAGACATGACAGGGTCTCCGCACTGGCTTCTGCACTGGGGAGTGTGCTTCTAACGGAGCGGCACACCCAGTTTTAGTGAATTCACATGGGTACTTGGGGGCACGGGGCACCCCTGTAGTGCAGCTATAGACTTCAAATGCTCAGAGAAACACTAAACAGGGGGTGTGCACATGCATGTGTATGTGTATATGTGTGTGTATGCATGTATGTAGGTACAGAGAATTTGTCTAACTCTGAAACTGCTTCAAAATAAACTATAAATTTTAAGTTCAAATATATATAAATAAATAATGTATAAAAATATAGTTGAAACACACCACTTAAAATGTGACTATGAAATAGTAACTGACTTCTCTGCACTGCAGTGACAGTCTGAAGCCAGACGCCCGAGAGGGAGCCCTTGCTGCCCCCCCACTTGCGTGTGCCATGGGCCTCACCAGCCTGGTAGTCATAGAGGGCGATGGCTGTGATCCCGAGGTCATTTTCATACTCATCATAGGTGTTTTCCTCTGAAAACAGACCAAGACAAAGTGAGCAATGACCCAAGTTCCCCCAACGCCCACAGTTTTAGCCGCTGTGGGACGCCCTCCCCAAGGCAGGACTGCCGGGGCCCCGAGGGCCCCTGGGCAGAGCTCCAGGACACCAGCGCCTCCTGTCACCCGCAGGACTCCCGCTCTCCGGGGGCAAGTCCGATTCCCAACTCTGACGCTACCAGTATGGGCAATTATCTCAATAGGTTTTAGGACGGCTTTCAGTGTCTGATTTCCTGACGGGCTTCAAAGGATAACTTTTTAGATTTTAAAGACTTAGCACTTTGAGGAAGGGTCATATCCTAAGTGACGACCAGCGGGAAGCAGCTGGTCACACACCTCTCGTCACACTCGGGGAGGTGAAAGTGCTGCCCTGATGTTCTGACACCAGTTTTTGTATGACTCCATGCAGGGGAGAGGTTTATGTCAGATCTGTCCTAATAAGTAAAGGAAACCTCATCTTTAAAAATGAGAGACCAGTTTTAGCATTCATCCACCTAAAATGTCTGCATCATTCCCGAGTTTATAGAAGTCATCTTTAGACTTCAAGACACCCTGGCTTCCTGGAGCTGGACCCTCTGTGCCCGGAGAACGCCCACAGGCTTCCATGCGGGAGAGACAACAGAAGCGCCTTCCTTCATGCCCGCCCCGCCCAGCACCCCAGCACCGGTAGGGATCTTCCTGTAGCCCCTCAGGGGCCACGCCAAGCCCCCCGTGGTCCAGAGCTGCCCCAGCAGGGGATGAATATCCTGCCGACATAGGTGAGTGGGCAGGGCGGCTGATGGGGACGCAGACTCACAGAGGGGCAGGGGCTGAGGGGAATTTCTCAGGGGACCCCCCACCTGCTGGATAGTGGCCTGGGGTGTCTGTGCCTTCATGAACGGACTCCAGAGCGTGGGCCAGGCCCTGCTGGCTGCTGGCCTCCTGGGGACTGCCGGCCTCCACGCTGTACACGGGCTCGGGCTCGGGCTCGGGCTCGGGCTCAGGCCCACTCACAGGGCCTCCCCGGCTTGGCTCGGCCCCAAACAGCACCAAGTCCTGGGGGAGACAAGGAGATGTTTGAGTAGCCCGTGCTGGGTCACCGGCACATGGACAACTTTCTAGTCCCAGCAGGACTGAGGAAACAGACATGGGGACCAGGGGGCAATGCCTGCTAACATTCCGAGAACGCCAGGGTCCTGCCACGGTGAGGCAGCGTCATGAGGGCCACGTGCCATCTCCTCTTAACCAATCCCATCCTCCCACCCCAACACCCTGAGTCCTGGAGTAACTAAGCCACACGGCCCATCCAGAAAGGCACACCTGCCCGCGCTGCTGCTGCAGCTGAAGCCTGGCTCCCTGGGTCCTGGCCCAGACCTCCAAAGGCCACCCAAAGCCCCCGAGGACCAGCCACCCTCCCACACCCGACAGCAGCTTCACCCCACTTGCCCCGCTGCCCGGAGCAGCCAGACCCAAGGCTGCGGGGCTGTCCCAGCGCAACCCTCTGCCCCAGCCAGTGAGTCACACGCAAGTAGGCTGGGAGGAGACCCGCAGCCATCTATCTGCCAGTCCCGTGCCCCGCGCCATCTCCAGCCCAGCTCCACCTGCAAGCCCTGCCCTGCTCTGTCTCGGGCCTTGGGACTCGGAAGCCCTCAGGAAAGCTCTGAACTCTGTGCCATCACCTGCGGCTTCAATGGGTGCTTCCACCAGGGCCCACCCGAAGGCACCCTGGGGGTCACAGGACACACACGGGGGAGCTCCACTAAGAGCCACTGGTCAGGCGTGAGCTTTGATGGGAGGCAAGCAGCATGCGTGGGGGGCCCGTGGAAGCCATGAGGAAGGCCACCTCTGCCTTGGGCACAAGAGCCACTCGAGGATGAAACTGCAAGGCCCAGTGTCCTTTGGGCAGGTTTCCCCCAACACGAGGGGAATGGCCTGGAGAATGAGGGGCCAGGACATGGGGTGGGGGCGCCCTGAGCAGGTGAGCAGGTCATGGGGTGGGGGCACCCTGAGCAGGTGAGGTCTTGGGGTGGGGGGCACCCTGAGCAGGTCACGGGGTGGGGGCGCCTTGAGGTCTCGGGGTGGGGGTGCCCTGAGGTCATGGGGTGGGGGCACACTGAGCAGGTCATGGGGTAGGGGCGCCCTGAGCAGGTCTCGGGATAGGGTGCCCTGAGGTCTTGGGGTGGGGGTGCCCTGAGCAGGTCTCGGGGTGGGGGCGCCCTGAGGAGGTCACGGGGTGGGGGCACCCTGAGCAGGTCACGGGGTGGGGGTGGCCTGAGGTCTTGGGGTGGGGGAACCCTGAGGTCTCGGGGTGGGGGTGGCCTGAGGTCTCGGGGTGGGGGTGCCCTAAGCAGGTCTCGGGGTGGGGCGCCCTGAGCAGGTCTCGGGGTGGGGGCGCCCTGAGCACATCTTGGGGTGGGGGCACCCCATCAAATGGTGCTGCCTGCCGATCTCCTCGCCCCTCTGAGGACAGCATGGCGCTCAGGGAACAGCTTCTCAGCAGGACGTGGTGATAGGTATGGCTCAGAGCCCCTGCTGACACCGTGTCACGGGCCACAAAGCCACGCATGCAGCACTGCCCAGGGGTCTGCAAGGACATGGCTGCCACACAGAAGGAGTGGCAGTTCAAGGAGGGGACCCTGTGGGGATGTGGCTGTGGCCCCCACCCCGAAGCCCAGGCCCACAGCTCCCCCAATTTCATGGGCTACCTTTACGCCTCAGCTAAGTGAGTCAAGTGAGTATTTTTTGAGTCAGGGACAGGAGGGGACAGTGGCCAGTCCTCCAGGTGCGGGCACAGAGCAGCGTTTGGGGGGGCCAGTGATGGAGAAGCAAGGGGAGATCGGCAGCCCGGTGCCAGAGAGTTCCAGAAGGAAGGCGGTCACTGCCAAATGCAGCAGCGGGAGTGAGGTTAGGACCAGAGGGTGTCAGGAGCCCTCGCCAGGGGCACTGGGCTGGGTGAGGACAGGGACGCGTCCCAGGAGCCCAGGGGCAAGCTGTGCACCTGAGGCCGCCCAGCGCTCAGGGAGGCTGCTCTCCAGGCCTCCCTCTCGGACGCCACCAAGCAGAGCGGCGAGGGGTCTCCTCTGCATTCCCAGTGCAGATGAGGGAAGGCTGTCTCCGCATCAGACTCATCTGCAAACTGAGTGAAGACACCAACCTCACAGACAGGGCCTGAAGGCGGCTGCTCCCGGGCCGGCGGGGCTGTGGGGGACGCAGGGGCGGGAGGCTCCGGGGCTCTGGCTTGTTCCTGTGATTGAAAGACAAGCAGCGGTCAGAACACCACCAGGTCACCCCAGACTGCGTGGCTGCCGCAAGGACAACTGGATTTCAGAGAAAGGAGGTCACACTCAGGCCGGGAGCACTCTCTGCCAGAGGGACGAACAGGAGCCCCAAGTGTGCAGCCCAAGCCCTGTGAGGTTTAAGGGTTTGCTTTGAAGTGAAGGTGGTGCAGTCAGACCGGTGTCACCTGGTGCCCGCCCCGCCCGCCGCTGACAGGATTTGGGGGTCTGGGTCGATGTTGTTCATGGTACGTTACAGACTTGGGAGACCTTACAATGGGCCAGTACATTTTTTGGGTAGGGTGGACATGGATCTTTGCAGCCAGAGGGTGGACTGTGGTGGACAGAATGGCCCCTCCAAGAGGCTAACATCCCCATCCTCAGATCCCACGAATGCATGACCTTGCAAAGGGCAAAGGGACGGAGACATATGGGAACAAATGAGGGACCTGCGGCAAAGTTGCAGGATACAAAATTAATACACAGAAATCTGTTGCTTTCCTACACATTAATGATGAACTAGCAGAAAGAGAAATCAGGAGAACAACTCCATTCACAACTGCGTCAAAAAGAATAAAATACCTAGGAATAAACCTAACCAAGGAAGTGAAAGACCATTACCCTGAAAACTACAAGACACTCTTAAAAGAAATTAAAGAGGACACTAACAGATGGAAACTCATCCCATGCTCATGGCTAGGAAGAATTAATATCGTCAAAATGGCCACCCTGCCTAAAGCAATCTACAGATTCAATGCAATCCCTATCAAATTACTGACAGCATTCTTCGACAAACTGGAACAAATAGTTCTAAAAGACCAACAAAGACCCCAAATAGTCAAAGGAATCCTGAGAAGGAAGAATAAAGCTGGGAGATTAAGCTCCCCAACTTCAAGCTCTACTACAAAGCCGCAGTAATCAAGACAATTGGTATCGGGACAAGAACAGACCCACAGACCAGTGGAACAGACTAGAGTCCAGATATTAACCCAAACATATATGGTCAGTTAATATACAATAAAGGAGCCATGGATATACAATGGGGAAATGACAGCCTCTTCAACAGATGGTGTTGGCAAAACTGGACAGCTACATGTAAGAGAATGAAACTGGATCACTGTCTAACCCCATGCACAAAAGTAAATTTGAAATGGATCAAAGACCTGAATGTAAATCATGAGACCATAAAACTCTTAGGAGAAAACATAGGCAAAAATCTCTTAGACATAAACATGAGTGACTTCTTCATGAACATATCTCCCCGGGCAAAGCAATCGAAAGCAAAAATGAACAAGTGGGACTATAACAAGCTGAAAAGCTTCTGTACAGCAAAGGACACCATCAGTAGAACAAAAGGTATCCCACAGTATGGGAGAATATATTCATAAATGACAGATCCGATAAAGGGTCGACATCCAAAATATATATAGAGCTCATGCACCTCCACAAACAAAAAGCAAATAATCCAATTAAAAAATGGGTGAGTATCTGAACAGACACTTCTCCAAAGAAATTCAGATGGCCAACAGGCACATGAAAAGATGCCCCACATCCCTAATCATCAGAGAAATGCAAATTAAAACCACAATGAGATTATCACCTCACACAAGTTAGGATGGCCACCATCCAAAAGACAAACAACAAAAAACAAAAAAATGCTGGTGAGGATGTGGAGAAAGGGGAACCCTCCTACACTGCTGGTGGGAATGTAAATTAGGTCAACCATTGTGGAAAGCAGTATGGTGGTTCCTCAAAAAACTCAAAATAGGAATACCATTTGACCCAGGAATTCCACTTCTAGGAATTTACCCTAAGGATGCAACACTCCAGTTTGAAAAAGACAGATGCACCCCTATGTTTATCGCTGCACGATTTATAATAGCCAAGAAATGGAAGCAACCTAAGTGTCCATCAGTAGATGAATGGATAAAGAAGATGTGGTACATATACACAATGGAATATTATTCAGCCATAAGAAGAAAACAGATCCTACCATTTGCAACAACATGGATGGAGCTGGAGGGTATTATGCTCAGTGAAATAAGCCAGGCAGAGAAAGACAAATATCAATTGATATCACTCATTTGTGGAGTATAAGAACAAAGCAAAAACCGAAGGAACAAAACAGCTCCAGACTCACAGAACCCAAGAATGGACTAACAAGTACCAAAGGGAAAGGGACTGGGGAGGGTTGGGGGGAGGGGAGGGATAAGGGGGGAAAAAGGGGCATTATGATTAGCAGACATAATGTAGTTGGGAGGGGGCATGGGGAGGGCAGTACAACACAGAGAAGTAGTGACTCTATAGCATCTTACTACGCTGATGGACAGTGACTATAATGGGGTTTGTAGGGGGGGACTTGATAATAGGGGGAGTCTAGTAACCACAATGTTGCTCATGTAATTGTACATTAATGATACCAAAAGAAATGAAGGACCTGGTACGGACTACCCCATGGCTCAGGGAATCCCTGGGTCCTGTCCGAGAGAGACAAGTAGGTGAGACTGAGTTCGAGACACGACGACAGGCATGATGGCAGACGGCCACGGGCCCAGGAGCGCCGGTGCCTCTAGGCGCCAGGGAGGCGGGAACAGACCCTCCCCCAGAGCCCTGAGCGGGGACCAGAGGAGCACACCCTTCAGGACTCCACCCTCGAGCTGGGAAATAGCAGATGCTGGTCTGCAGCCCCTAGGATTGTGGTACTTTGATACGGCAGCCCCAGGACTCTAGCACTGACAGCCCCAGGCTGGGTTTTTCTCCAGCTGAGGGATCAGAGGTTCCAGGGCAGGTGAGGGGTGTGCCCAGGACCCAGGTGAGGCGGCGGCAGAATGAAGTGACACCCTCCCCTCCCTCCAGCCCCCTAGGCCACCTCCCTAACCGGGGTGGCACTGCTGTCATCTTGTTGTTAAGAAAACTGTCCCGGCTCCTGAGACCTAAGCACAGCTGTGACACCCGTGTGGCTTTGCCTGACCCACACCAGGACAGTCACAAGTTCACACGTGGCCTGGAACCGCCTGTCTGAAGCACCCAAGGCAGGAGAGCACTTCCAGGAGGGGCTGGCTAAGCGGGGGCCTCCGGAGCCCCAGCCTGCTGCTCACTACACGGGGACACGAGGCTGCCCATTTACACCAGTCACTTTACAAGGGTCTGCAACAGTCCCTCTGCAAGCTAGCTGGGCACAGAGAAATGCCTTCTCTGCGCAAGCTACCGGCACTGCAGAGTCAAGGCCTGTGGCTCTGCAGCAGGTGGCCCAGAGCACGCCCTCCCTGCCACACAGACTCAGGTGAGCAGCCCGGAGCCGGAGCACCGCCCACCATGTGGCCGGGCAAGAGGGGTGGCGGGGCTGAAATGGGACAGGCAAGCAGAAGTGGCAGTGAGAGAACCCCATCGGTGGCCAAAGGCGTCTCCCCTCAAGCCGCCCGAGGTGCTGCACCTCTTGGGAGCTGACGGCACCCAGGCAGCAGGGCCTAAAATCCCAAGGCATAAAATGAGGACAGTATTCATTTACCAGGAAGACGACAGGCTGTGGGGAAGCGCCTGTCAGCGTGTGCACCGGTGTGCTGAGCTGCAAGAACTAACCAGCACCTACTCACGGTGCAGGACGGACAAAAGTAAACGGCAGATCGGGTCGCGGCATTTTCTACCTATCACACATTAACTCTCTCCACCGTCCATTCTCCCCTGATGGAAGTTCTTGGAGCCCTGGCCACTGAGTGGGGGGAAGAAGCGCCCCGAGTCAGAGGTTTATGGTCCAGAAAACAATTTCCGACGTGTCATTCCAGATTCTACTCCGCACCTACCCCGGAAGGCCGTGGTCTTCCCACCCCCACTCCATGCATGAGAACCAGAGGCTGCAGGCTAAGGGTGAGCAGGTGGTGAGGGGCCGGGGCCGCCAGACTCAACACCTCCAGAACCCGCAGGAAGGAGAGGCTGCGCCCCCCTCAGCCCTCTGGCTCCCGCCTCCGCGCATGGGAAAACAGTCCCAAGGCCACGCGGATCGGTGGCAGACCCAGCCTGCGGGGGCAGCGCCGCTCCTCCTGGGGGGACTCCTGGATCCCCAGCCCTCCCCGGAGGGTGATGGCCAGATCGGGGACTGCTGTGGACGCACTGGACGCAGCCCAGCACAGGCAGGACGGCAGCAGCGCGGTGCAGACACGGACGGGCAGCTGGCTGGAGGCAGGGGTCCCAGGAGCACAGCCCTAGACGGGGGTCCGGGTGTTTCCCGCCACGCCTCAGGGAAGGAGAGGGCCCACTCACGTCCAGCTGTCCGTGCGCCGCCTGCTGCCCCTGCTGCCCCTGCTGCCCCTTTGCTGTCCGCTGGGCTCGCTCCGCCTCCGCCTTCCGCCTGCCCCCCTGCTCTCTCTCCTTCGCGAGGTTTTCGAAGTTGGCTCTGATGTGGCTTGCTTTGCTGTTCGCTGCAGAGGGGAGGGGAGATGACATGTGATGCCAGAAGCCTTCCATCTCCCGGCAGCCGGGCACTTGGCCCTGCTGCTGGCTCAGCCCCGCCTGGCGGTCTCTGTGCCCACCTGGCTACTGACCGCCCAGCAGGACGCACGAGGCAGACGAGTGCCACGAGCCTTGCGTCTGGAGCAGCTTTACATGACAAACAGCACTGCACTCCTCGCCACTGCATGCCCAGGGGCAGGGGCCAGCAGCCCCGAAGGATGCCCGGGATGAAGCACCGACTGGAGGCGACCCTCAGCCCTGGAGGTGCATCGCTTCCTCCCTCACGTGATACGGCAGAGGAGCAAACACCCCTGCACAGGGAGGGGGGCTGCTGCCATTACCCGAGTCTGCAGTGGGGCTGGTCTTTCCGAAGCATCCCTGTCTGCGGTCCCAGGGGGCACGCTACGGCCCGGCCCAGTCTGGCTCTTGCCCAGATGGGTCCGTCAAGTCATGCCCAGAAAACCAAAAGTAGCCGTGCCACAAGGGCCCTCGGGGTGATCCCGGCAAAGGCTAAGCTCACATGCGTCTCCTTCTGCTTGCAGCCTCCCTCTTGCCCGCAGCACTCTCCTGGGACACCGGGAGGCATGGAATGCCTTCCTGGGAAAGCCCGGGGCGGGGGGGCTGCTAGGACTCACCTGCTTCAACAGGGACGGTCTTCTGGTAAGCGGAGGCCACCTTGGAAACATCCTCAAAGGTGGAAGCATTCTGCCCAGAGATGGAAGGGAAGTTAGGAGAGCACTTTTCTCCTGCACACCCTGTGACGGTTTCTGCCTGCAGGTGAACGCCTGCCCTCGATTCCAGAAGAACCAGCCAGAGAGCCCACAGGTTTCACGGCCACCTTGGCTGGCAAAGTGACGGAGGCATGAGGAGCTGATACCCATCGGCTGGTGACCACATGAGTCAGAGCAGAGATACCCTGGGGTCGTGGGGGTGACGGGCGGAGCACAGAGCACTTTCTGGGCAGTGAACGATGGAGTATGAGGCCTCAGAATGGTGGGTTCCACCCAACCACAGAACAGACACCACCCGGGTGGCCCTGACGGACCCTGGGGACTCTAGAGGGTGACGACGCATCAGAGAGGACTCACGGGCTGCGAAAGGCATGCCGTCTGGTGGGCATGTGGGTAATGGGAGGCTCTGCACGGGGGGCAGGGGTGTGGAAAATCACTGTGCCTTCCTCTCAAATTTGATAAAACTCCTCCAAGAACATACAGCTAGAACAAACCCCCAAAACACCCCCCATCTGCGTAGTCCTGAACCAACTCTGTTCTTCTCCAGCCCCCCTCAGCCCCGAGAGAGGCCTAAGTGTTCACAGGGGCCCAGAGAGGACACACTGGGAACATCCCCTGGTGTCACCTGGCCTGAGCACCCACGTCACCCCACCAGAGAGATCACACCCTCTTTGGTAGGGGACCCCACTCTGTCCGAGTGAAGTGACAGCAGTGACTGCCACTTACAGGCTGACTCAGCCGCACACTGGCAGGAGCCTGGAGCCCACCAGCCACCCCTAGTTCCATGGTGAGCAAACACTTCTAGTAAAACACACCTGGGCTCAGGACAGACACTGCTTTTCTGACACTTAAAACCAGGGGAGAGGTGCCCAAGCAGGCGTGTGACCGAAGTCGACCTGGTTCCAGCCCACGTGAGCAGCACGCCTCCCCGAGGCTCTGGCTGACCACCGCACGGAGCCCTGGTCAGCACTCTGGGGGCGGGCTGCCCCACCTTCCCCCACAGCCCCATGCTTCTCTGGCAGTCACCCAGCAGCCCGCCACCCTTCCATGCCCAGAGGCACCTGGCACCCCCGCCTCATCTCTGAGGGCAGCTGCTTAGCTGCTCTGACCAAACCCTCTCCCACTCCCGGGCCCCTGGCCCCACCAGCACCGCCCCAGGCCTGCCTCCTCTTTCCAGAACAATCCCTAGCACCCTCACTTCCCACTGCCCCAGAGCTCCTGCCTGCCCAGAGCCAGGGAGGGGGCAATGGTGGACACTGGCATTTCCCCAACGCCTCCCTGCTGCGTCTGGGGTGACTCTGCATCCAGCTGGCCCACGACCCCTCCCGGCGCCCACCACCTGCCGTCCACCCGACTGTCCAGCAGTAGTACCGTCCTCTGCACAGTCTCTTGGTGTCCCCATCCCCTACAGTCTCGGTGTCCCATTTCCTGGCCAAGGCCCACAACCCCCTCAAAACTGAGCTCAGGTGTGCACCTCCCTCATGACCCCACAGCCTGAGCCTGGGCCCTGCCACTCGCTCCCAGCCTGCGCACGGTCACATGGAGGAGTCCCCGGGGTGACAACCATCTGTGCGGCCGACTGTGACCCGGAGGGAAGCGTAAGGGCTCTGAGGGCCACCCTGCCACCCATGACCACAGGCACAGGACCCGCAGGACCGCCTCTGCTCCGCTGGCTGAGGGGCCAGGAGCACACGGAGCCCCAGTGCAGGTGATGCCCCTAAGCCTACACTCTGCCGTGGTTGGACTGTGGGCCAGAAAAGCAACCTGGCATCTTAGCCTGACTCCCTAGCACTGTGTGACCAATCGAAAACGAGAGTCCCTGGTGAGAGAAACAAGTGTTTCCATGGCAACACCCAAAGGGCAGCCCGTGGTTAGGGTCCAGCTCCAGGGGATGCCATCCGTGGGCCCTGGGCCCTGAGCGCTTGCTGAGCTCCCCTCACTCAGCCAGGGGCGCCAAGGAACTCAACTTCCTCTCTGGCTCACTGCTAATCACTTCAAATTCAAATAGCCGTGCATCCCAAAGGCTCGGGTTGGCCTTGGAGTCTAAATGTCTGGGTCCCAATGGTGGCCAGGCACTAGCCTGCCTGGCCAGGAGCCCCCAGGGACAGAACAGGCAGGGACACAACCCGGCTGTGATACTTTAGCCGAGGCCTGGCCATGTGGGAAACATCATCCGGTGTTCGTGCACCTGAAACGGGAGCTGCGTGCCCCCGAGCCCATCACGGCACAGCCAGATGCCCCAAGCCATGAACCTGGCCCGTCCGCAGAAACCACAAAGCCTGCGTCTGGGGACTTACCTTATCCATCCGGTCCTTCTGCACCCCGTATTTTCCACCGAATCCTTTGGCGTAGTCTGAAACATGGCAGAACACAGCACTTACTCTCAGGCTGGGGCAGTGTGGTCCCAACAGCACACGCATGCTAACAGACCCTGGACACCCCAAGGAAATGCACCCCGAGCGAAAGGAAATGAGAGCCAGCAACGAGGAGTCTGCGTGCAGGCAGGAAAGAGGCTGTGCGTACTCCCAGTGCTCTCCCGAGGGACAGAGGGGTGCAGGCGGGCTGGCAGGCAGTGAGCCGAAGAGGGCCCAGTGCGGGCCTCTGGCAATGCGCCACTTCCATAGCACAGGCTTCCGCCAGCACGGCGGCTGGTCCCCGCCACCCCGTGCTCCTGCCCCACTGAGCGCCAAAGAGGCCCCATCACAGGTTCTCCCTTGCTTTTGAAGAGAAAAAACAGTCCACAGGGGAAGCCCAGCCAGTACCTGGGTCACAGCAGCACAGACCTAGGTGACAGTGCCACCGGCACGCGTGCTGACGGCCCAAACAGTCCATCTCCACGCGCCTGCCAGCTCAGCCCAAGGTGTGTGCCTCCCTCGTCTGAACTCGCCCGCAAGTCCTGACTCGAGGCCTGAAAGCCTGAGCTCTGCCCTGCACGGCCAGGTCACTCACTGCTCTAGTCCCAGGGGCATCTCCAGGCCCTGACCGCCACGTCTGAATTTTGATGGTATTCAAGTAACTGCTCTAAGGGAAAACGCACTCGCCACTCAGGCTGCCGGGGCACACCTAGAACCCCCCGTCCCTCCTCAGCTGCGTGTATACTGTTCGGCTCTGTGTGGAGAAGTTATACATAGATGGTGTCACCAAAAACAGAAGCAAACAAAAAACATCTCCCACCCTTCAAAAAACACCACCACAAATGAAATGGAACCCCAGAGAGCAGGGGCGCCCGGGGCCCCTCGTGGCCACCAGCCTCTGGACGTCTCGGCTCGCCCTGGAGGCCGGGGGGTGGCTCACTCAGCTCCATGCAGCAGCCGTGATGAGCTCCTGCGCAGGTTTGCTGGGAGGCCAGAGGCTCCCCGGTCCAGAAAGGAGCCATGTTATGGGATCAGACTGATGCCCCTGACAAACCGCCACCGTGTTTCACCAAACATGAACCCCAGAGGTTATGGGGGGAAAGTGAACGGGGAGACGGGGTGACCACATAGAGCAATGACCCTGGGTTGAGATGCCCAAGAGCCCCTGACCAGTGCCAGTGGGAGACTCGGAAGGTGGAGCCCCCAAAGTCTGTGCTAGAAGTGGCTGCACTGGGCGGGGAGGGCAGGGGGCAGCAGGTGGGGGCTGGTGAGCAACTGTGCCTTGCTGGGACTCGTGCTTGGCCAGTCTCTCCTGGTAATCAAACCCCACAGCACAGGAGTCCTGCCTCTCGGACTGAACACCAAATCTGCCTCCGAAACCAGTCTTATAATCTGAAAATCCACAAGCGACAGAGAAAACAACCAAGAGAGGAAACACAGTTCAGTTAGAATCGTGTGAGCATGTGTGAGAGTCAGACATGTCACTGAGCTGAGCAAGGGCCCGGCCGGGCTCAGAGCCAGCGGGCCGGCTCCCGGGCCCAGACCGCCGCCGCGGGGCTCCCAGGCCACAGCACAGACTTAGAATCTGCACATCGCAGCCAAGGTCTGCAGACAGGTCAGGAACTGTACTTAAGACAATTCCATCAAGGCACTCCATGCTTTGGGGTTTCATCCTAGGCTCCTACCCACGCTGCAGACAAGAGAACGCATCTCTGCGCATGCAGAGAAAGAGACACATCATACATCAAGTATCCCATGGCAGCTATCAGTCCCCGCCCGCCCCCACTTCCCACTATGCGGGCGGGAAGGACAAGTGGGTGGGGGTCTGGGTCCGACTCAGAGGTCCTCCCACCCCACACCCCACTTTCCTGGGGATGGGGTTCCCTTCTCATAGAACGGCAGTGGAATCTGCTTTCATAAACCGTAGGGCACTTTATCAACGAATTCAGCCTGTGGGCACCGCCCCCCTTTCTGGGCACGAGGGCAGGGAACAGCCTTCCTGGCAAGGCTACCGGCCGTGACCGCGCTTCCTGGCACAGACGAGGCCAGCAGCCTTGCTGGGGCAGCCCTCCCACGGGCGGGGGCAGCTGGCCGCCACAGAGACGAAGAGTTAGTCACAACTGGGAGGCAGAGGACGACCTCAAACAGCGAAGACCAAACAACGCTGCTACAGAAGCACAGCAGGGACGGGCACATCAGCGGACCCACGGGTGCCAGCGGCCCGGCGGCAGTGAGGGTGACCCGCCCCGTGAACACACCTTTCTGGGATCCATGCAGCTGCAGCCTCTCCTGGTGACCCCAGCCCAGGGCACATTTGTCTTGTCGGTCTGTCTGGACACCAAATTTTCCTCCAAACCCTTTCACGTAGTCTACATGGACAACAAAAGGCCACAGTCCAGCATTAGCGGGCAGCCTGGGTAACAGGGAGAAAGCATGCTTTCAACGCAGCTAAACACACAACTCGCCAAACCCATCCTCTCCCCCACAGACATCTGGTGAAGCTGAGAGGACCTGCTCACACCCCGGCAAGGAGCCTGCTGCTCACCCTGGGACTGCGACTAGACGGGCAAGACCACGCAGCAGCTCTGAGCATGCACCTTACGAGGTGCTTTACAAATGACGTGGCACAATCTCGGCACTTTCACAAGCCACATGGTGGACGTCAGAGCCAGAGAGCGTAAAGACATGGTTTGTACTTAATGGCTGTGTTTCTGGACCTGCTGTTGTAAAGCTCCGTGTTTAACTCAAGAGACGCCCGCTCTAAGGGCTTGGTCACGTCTTGCCTGTCCATCTCTGTTCTGCTCCCACCTGCCGCCTAAGACTCCCTGGCCGGGGGATAAGGTCAAGGGAAGACACCTGTTTGGGACTCGTGCTTCTCCGTTTTGCCTTGATACTCAAAACCGACCGCACTCTTGTCCACCTTGTCCTTGTCGATCCCGTACTTGCCGCCGAAACCCCTGGAGTAATCTAGGCACAGAGACAGCACTGTTCACGCCCCGGCCCCGGCCCCAGTGAGCACGCCATGCACTCAACCGCCCTTAAGAAAGCACTTCCAGCACCCGACTAAAGCGACAAAAACCCTTCAGGCTTGCTACAGGACCCTAACATGGGGAGTATTTCAAAATACTACTTGTAAGTGGTAGTTAATAACAAAGAGTAATAAACAGCAGATTAGTAACTGTAGCATCTTTCCTTCATCCCAAAGGGCAGCATGAAGTAAGTCTCCCATAAAGCTCCTGAGGTCAGGAGGGGGTCTCTCCGCTTCATCAACTAGAGCAAGCAGAGGTGCGCCCGCGGTGCCTCCAGAGCAGCAGGGCCAAGATGCAGCACCTGCCAGAGGCATGAGCGCCATCCACTTAGTCATTTTCACACTAAAGCAAGGCTCCACCATGGATACATTAGTGGGGCAGGACACCAAGTGTCCCTCACAGGGAGGCCCGGGGCTTCCAGGGAGACCCAGGGGCGCCCCAGGCTCTGCGGCCCATGCTCCCCGACCTCCCAGAGGCAGCCTGAGTCCCTGCAGGGCCATCGCACCAGGGAGGAATGCACGGCAGGTCCCTGCATGCTGGGCAAAGGACTAGAGCTCGTTCCAGGTGAAGGGAGAGGCAGCTGGGGTGACCCCGCACAGCCGGCCAGGCACGTGGCCTCGAGGAGGGTGGCAGGGCTGGGCCAGGCCCTTGGGGAAGAACTGGGACACTGGTGGCCTCTTAGTTTTGTTTTTTAAAGAAATCTGGATTATTTTTTCATGTGTGAGCTCTCAGTTTTTAAATGTCGGCATTTATTTTAAAAACTTAAACATTCAGGCCGAAAAGAGGTTAGATAAGCAATACAGAGGCGCCACCCGTCCGTGGCGTCCGCAGTAGGCCGTCGGGCCCCAGGGGATGCCGCAGCATGGGGAAAGTCGGTTCGGCTGCGAAGGCCACCCTGGCAGTGCCTGCCAAAGTTTCAAATTCAGTGTCCTTTGACCAGCAATGCCATTTCTAAGAATTCATTCTTTTGAATAATCACTTGGGCATATAAAATCCAGGGACAAGACAACTCGCCGTGGCTGACTTTTAACCTCAGCAGTTGGAAATACCCTGAGCTCCCATTCCAGGGGATCCCCGCACGAGGGCCAGCAGGTGCCCACAACCTCCCTGCGCCGCGCTAGAGACGGGACCCTCCACACGCTTCACGCCGCAACAACCGTACAGGTGGGGCGTGACCGTCTGCACAGGGGAGTCTCCCGGCTCATGGCTGCAGAGGAAGGAGACCGGGACGAGGAGCCCACGCGGGAGCCGCCCGGGGGGCGGGCTGCGGGCAGACCTTTCTGCGACTCGTGCTTCTCAGTCTTGCCCTGGTAGTCGAATCCCACCGCGCTCTTGTCCACCCGGTCGGCCTGCACGCCGTACTTGCCACCGAAGCCACTCGAGTAGTCTGAGGAGACAGGCAACCGTCAGCCAAGGAGCCCAGTGACAGACTCAACTGCCACCTCAGTTAAACTGAGCAACAAAACCGTTTGGGGTGACAGCTCACTGGGAGATCAGGCACACGTTTTAGGATGCACAGCAAGCCACCCGCTGTGACACACAAGGGACAGACTCAGTCTACAACATGCACGCTTGCAGCCTGGTCTCTTTCAATGGCCACAGGTTATTTTTTCACGACGGCAGCAAGGAGCTGCATTCCCATTCGGAAAATTAACTGGTCAGCACATGAAGAAAGCTATGCAGCTAAAAACCCTTTCTGGAAAAGATGCTGCCCCTCCAACACGTCCATGCCGGGCAGAGCAGGCCGAGCGCCGGCTCCCTGGTCACCTGACCTCCAGGAGGCAGGTGCAAACAGGTTGCAGAAGCGCACGGAGCGCCGGGAGGAACTGACACACTTTCATCTGCTGACAAAGGCTTTGTGAGACCGGATGACTTAGCGAGGGCCAGCCAGCCCCGTGCGTCAGGAAACCATCAGTCGCCCCAGTGGCCCTGGTGTCACCCGTGGGAAAAGTAAGCTTTTGCCAACAAAGTCAGGGTGCCGGCTCTTCCAGGGGTACTGCTGCTCGGGACAGAGGCCCCAGCGACCCGAGGTGCCGGAGCCGGGTGCTGCCTGACGGGCCCCACTGACACACGGCCTGCAGGCGGGAGAGCACAGTGCCCCCCAAGGCGGCCCCCGCCCCCAGGAGCCCTCAAGTGACGGCACGCTCTCCCCGGGGCCCGCACGTCTGCACCTCCTCCCTACCTTTCTGTGAGGCGTGTTTCTCGGTCTTGCCCTGGTACTCGAAGCCTACAGCGGACTGCAAGACAGAAAAGGGGGCACGCCTGTAACCGCCCCCCCAGCTGCTCACCCAACTCCACGATGTGCGTGCAGTTAGTAAAAACACCAACCATGCCATTTTTTTGACCTCTGATCTCCTAAGCCACGTATGGGTCCAGTTAATGCGCAAAGCTCTGGTGTTTGAATCTGCACTGCATGCAGTTCCGTGTGGAACCGTGGCTAATGTGGCTGATATCACGGCACACTGGGAAAGCCAGAACATGGCTGAGGGCTGACTCCAAAATGCAGGCTCTCCGCCACCATGATAGAAAACAAAGGTCCAACTGCCCCAGTCAGAGTTAGCACAGGCTGGCGCCCAGGGGCGCCACAGTATCTGGACACTAAGCGTGGCCCTGGGAACTGACATGTGGGTGGTCCTGTGTTGTCTGCTCCGAGCACTGCCTGTTGGGGACACCCACACAGGGAGGGTGGGTGGAAACAGTCACACTGGCACATTCTTGGGCAAATCTACACCATCTGGCCCATCAGATGGGGATTTCCACAGCAAGTGGTGAAAGGCCCTTATACATCCCTGTTCTCACGCCAGCACCCAGCCCAGCACCTCAGAGCACCGGTGAGTCCCCCAGCCAGGGTGCCCTCCCCACAGTTCCAGAGGACACCTGGCAGCCCGCCGATGTCAGCAATGAGGTGGGACTGAGAGGGGGTGGGCCCCTGCCCTCCCCGGGCCCTGGCTCTGTGACACATCACTCACCTGGTCAACTCTGTCCACCTGGACGCCGAACTTGCCTCCGAACCCCCGGACGGAGTCGACCTGTGAGCAGTGCTTGGAAAGCTTCGACTGGTACTCGTGGCCGACGGCCGACTGGGGCAGGGACAAAGTGAAGAGTCAGACCCTGGGCCTCCTCATGGGCAGCACCAGGGGCCCCCGGTGAGGCACACTGAGCAGGGACGTGAGTCCCGGGGGACGGTGGCGCCAGGCGGGGTGGGCACCCCTGCCTCCCAGCCTCAGGCTCTGCCCTGCTGCGTGACTGGGCGGGAAGCAGAGACTGCGAGGCCAGCCGCGTCCAGCGGCCAGAGCCGGCTGCCCGCAGCACAGCACGTGAGCTCCCCAGGGGGGCTGGCGGGCAGCCACTCTGCCCGAGTGAGGCGGCCTTGTGCTGCGTGCCCCTGCAACCGGGACGTTTCTACCAGGCTGAGACACAGACACCGTGCTTCCGTTACAGCGCATACTCACAGTCACCCGGCACTGGGCGTGCGCCCAGCCAGCACAGGCCCCATCTCCCCCCAGCCTCTCCAGCACCGAGGTCCTGAGGAAGCAGCTTCAGCCACCTCTGCCCAAGGCCACACGCCCTGGGCGTCCTCCCACACTCGCCCCTGCACGGTCAGTGACCATAGCCTTGGGACACACAATACCCCAGCTTTCTGTAAGCAGAGCTTCCAGGGCAGCTGCACATATGCCTTACATACGCCAGGGTCGTCCCCACAGCCCAGAGCTCAGCACACTCACTAGCCAGACGCCTGCGGCCTCAGCCCTGCCCAGCCTGGCAGGCCCCACTCAGAGCTGAGCACCGGGCTCCCAGGATCCGTCACCACCGTGGACAGTGGCCACAGGCCCTTCACAGACAGCGGGGATGACACCTGACCGACCTGTGACCTGGGCAGGGCAAGGCGGAGACGCGCGCCCCTCCAGGCCTCCGCCAGCGGGTGCCCCAGTGCCGCCGCCCTCTCCACTTTGTCCAGAACCTCACAAAAGAGTGGGCTTAGGGCTCAAGGTCAACACGGTCACTGACACTCGGAGGTCACTCAAAGCAGCCACCGTTCCCACATCCCAGTGAGAAAGCAGCAGCTCTTTCCGAGGACCTGCAGGGATGCCCATCTGGCTGAAGGGGTGAGAGGGACAGGCGGAGGCAGCCAAGGCCGGCAGGGCAGGAGGGAGGCTCCGGGGGCAGGGGCGCTCCTGGACGGCAAAGGCCTGAGCTCCGAGTGCCAGGAGTGACATTCCCCCATAGAGAACGGAGATGGCCGAGAGGCCGGCGATGACAGCGGCATCCTGTCCTGGTCACGCTCTGCCTTGACACAGGTTCACTGGTTTCCGCAACTGTTATTTGTCCAACCCAGAGCCGGGGGCCCAAATTCATTATCAATTTCTGTCTGCTTTAGTCTGCAGCACTCTGGAAGCACAGGCTTGGCTTGCGGGTGGCCAAGGCTTCTCCGTCACTGCCCCAAACATGCGGGGTCCCTGCAGGACTGAGAGCCCCCAGGCCATTTGGAGCCTGAAGATCATTCTGCTCCCCGCTGCCCCCGTCAAGCCGTTTCTGGGAGTGACCCAGTCCCACCGGGAATGTCCATCTGTCCTGCGCTTGCTCTCTGTCCAACTCTAGGCTAATTTCAGACCTGGGCTGGGGTACCCATTGGCTCACATGTGTCTGCCCTATGGCAACAGAGTGGCGAGGCACACTGGGACAGAGTCCCATCTGGGCACGAGGGGACAGGTCTGGAATTACAGACCAGAACCTGGCACGAGCTGATCTTTCCCTCTGCATCCGCTGGGTCGGAACAGGCTCACGGTACCCAGGCAGGGGGCACAGCCCCCAGGACCGGGCACGAGGAAACCAGCCTCAGGGGAGAACCAGGCAAGCACACTGCCTCCCGGGCAACACGCTCCCTTCTCTGAGGGGGACAGCGCTGAAGGGAGTGGGGTCACACAGCGACGAGCTCGCTCCACACCTTGCCCCGTGGACGTGGCCATCCCAGCTCTACCAGGGCAGGCCCCCCAGTGAGTGCCAGGCCGCCCACCGAAGGTCCCTGGTGCACGAGCACGCCCGCTGGCTGAACTGGCCCCAGTGGTGTGACACGAGGGGCCCTCAGTCCTGGTTGGCTCTGCAGCTGGTACGGGTGGGCTGCAGGCTCAACTGCAGGCAACGGTGACACCAGCGCCTGGGGCCGAGAAGCCCTGGACTCCCTGCTGGTTGGCGCTGGCCTCCGGGAGCCCTGTTCCCCCTTGGGCCTCCCTACATACCACCTACTCACCAGCAACCCTGACAACCTTAACAGGCTTCTGAGAGGCGGGGGCGCATATGAGCAAGGGCCATCGGCAGGGGACGACTCTGGAACATGCTCCCCAACACCGACTCGAAGCGTCTCATCTGAGGAAAAGGCCCGAGTGCCCGCTCTGCAAGCCAAGGCAGTGCCAGGAGCCTGCCCACAGCAGGCGGCACTCACCTTGTCCATCCGGTCCTGTTCCACGCCGAACTTCCCTCCATAGCCATGGGAGGCTTTTGGCCCTGTTTCGAGTTCCTTCTCCTTGAGGGACTGGTGTTCTTGGAAAACATTCTCTCGCAGCTTGTGTATGCTTGGAGGGAAGAGAGTCATCAGGGACACAGGGAACAGACGCGCGCCCCGCCCTCTGGGACAGTAAGGACGGGCGCTACCTGGGGAGATCTGCACGGTCTCGTTACCCGGCGCCTCCCGGACCCCTGTCTTCACTACACTTCCTCATTATTCTACCAGCTGGTCTGTCTACTTGGGCAGCTCTCAGAGTCAAGTTCAATGGGAAAAAGAACTAATCTGAACATGTACAATGAATCACCCCAAGCCCCCTAAAAGCAGCTGCACTGAAATGTGAACTTCATACATTTCATGAGAAGTCCTTGATTTTACCAGAGAACCGAGTCAGGGCCAGTTCTGTAACGCCAGCCCGAGACACAGGACAAGCCGACCATCCCGTGCCCCAGATACCCGAGGCCACTGGTGGAAGGTCAGCGACACAGGACATGTGTGGGAAGCACCCCAGCCTGTTACATGTTCAAAGGTAAAACGAACACTTTCGGAACATATGATCTAAGGCCATTTCTTACTTTGACCTCGGAATGGTGACACAAATCAGATGTGGCCAGAATGTGGCAGGTCAGCAAACCTCTACGAGCTGTCACTGCCAGAAGGCCCCCGAGCAGCGTCAAGACCACCTGCCGAGGGGCCTTTCTGGGCAGTGCCAGCAGTGTGGCTATAAAACAACCAGGCGTGGATGCCACCCAAGCCCCTACGGGCAGGGGAAGGAAGCCTCTGCCCCTACAAGCCTGAGGGACACGGGCACCAAGACTGTCCTGCTCCCTGCGTGTCCTCACTCAGACCTCCTGACCGCTCCAGAGGCCACGCGCTGCCCCATCCACCCCCTCGGTGCGCTGCCAGGCCACAGAGGAGGGGAGCGATGAGGAGAGGATCCGGGGGCTGGCCTGACCCTGCTCAAACGAGCCAAGGCTTGCCAGGCTGGGGTCGGCTGGTTCCAGGTCCTCCCCCGGCAGGGCCGGGGCCCCTTCCATTCTTGTGGCCTCTGTGGAGGCTGTGGCTCAGTAAGTCGGGGGATGAACACCTGTGTCCCCAACACCCACCCTACTTTTCTGAATGGCTGCGTCTTTCTCAGCCAAGAACAGCTTCACTGCACTGCAGGAATACCGGGGTCAAGTAAGACAAACTCTGCAAACGGCCGAGCAGGCCGCCCCGTGGGTGACACCACTACACAGAGAGGGACAGGGCTGCGCTCCGAAGCTGCAGGGCCTAGACAAGGAGGCTGAGCCCATTTCACGTGCTCCTTATCTCCCCTTGTGGATGAGGAAGCAGTGTGCAGAGCTGGCGGTGCCAGATAGCACCACGCCAGGAACCGCGACGCGCTTCCCTCGCTTCTCCTCTTTGGGGCTTTCCCGGAGAACAGGGGCTTGGAAGTCGGCTCGATGTACCCAACTGACAGTGATAAAACCATAAAGTCAGAGTAAAAAATAAAACTAAGGCAGTGTTGGTTTAAGGCCCAAGGTGTTCCAGACCTCACCTTGGAAGTCTGGAGAAAAGGGGGGGTCACTGTCTCCCAGTGAAAACCTCAGGACTGAAGAGCAAACTCTAGAACGCTAAGGACAAAAGCCACTCGCCATGGGAGTTTTCAGGCTACTGAGCATCAGGTGACACAGACACACACACACACACGTCAGCGTGCGCACACCTCCTCACATTCAGCCGCTGTGTCAATATCCGGTCGCGAGGTAAGACAGAGGCAGTCCCCACACACACAAGCGCTGCACAGGTCGGTCAGGAGGGCAGGCGCCCCTGCCGTACACACCCCCGTCCCTCAGAAAGTCAGTCTCACACCAGAACTAAGCAGGCCTCTCACTTGATGTGCTCCTGGTGCCCGGACCCCTTCACGGTCTTGGCCCCCCATCTCTGTTCTTTTTCGCTTACATCGTTCTGAAATAGAAAAATAAACCGGTAAGCCCCACAGCCTGGGCCGTGAAACTGCAGGGGGTCACCCAGACACAGGAACCAGGGGAACGGCCTCTGGGGAAGCACAGCGAAGGAGACGGGGCTCCCGGGCTCCTACCACAAAGTCGGGGTCGGTCTCCCAGTCGTCAGCTCCCCCATCGTCCTGGGCGATGGACACGGCGTGGCCCGCCGACGCTTTCCACATCTGCAAGGGTGGCGCTGGGTTAGGGAGGGCCGGGACCACCCGGGAGCGCCGCGCTCAGAGGCCAGGAGGCCGGCCCTCTGCCCGACCACCCCTCTGGGGAACACAAGGACCCCATGGTCCCCGTGACCCCTGTGCTGCGGGCGCGACAGTGGAAGCTCAAGGAACGCAGTGGCACAGTTCTAATGCTGCTGTCAAACAGCTTCAGAAAAACACCAGAAGTACTCTGGCTGCAATTCAAGTGAGGGAATTTTCTAGAAAACAAGAGTCACGTGTGCACTTACTTCATTCCATACAAGCCTGTCACGATTCCACCAAGTCTGGAACAACAGTGTCGCCCAGCAAGAAGGCACTCATTTTGGGCCACTCGGCATTGTGAATGTATGAAACATCACCAGTGGTAAACTTTATATCACGTGCACTTTATTGCAATTAAAAGAAAGAGTACCACCCACTTGGGTTTCAGGTACTTACTGGAAAGTAACATATTTTCACAACCTGGACTCTGACAATTCAACGAGTGCTTCAGGTGATTTATCAGAGGCCTGCCCCGCTCACACTCTGGGGGAACACGCCGCAGGCAGGGGGCTGACTTTTCCTGCGTTAGGCCACTGCACACGGCCACCAGCTTCCCTCCCCAGACTTTTAGGTGGGATCCAGGACAAAGAAAGACGATCCAGCTTCACACCCGCACAAGAGAATTCTTTTCCTAATCACCAAGGTAAAATCTAACCTTTACAGGTTTCAAAGGAAAACTATGAAAAGAATTGATTCGTTTTCCACAAAAGAACTAACAGAATTTTATATGGGTCAGGAAATGTGACTGGGAGAAAAAAACTGAGATTACTTTAACTCGATCAACCAGATGCTCCATCCAGGTGTCGGAACTGAGGGTGCCCAGTTCACGCCTTCTGCGGTCCGCACTGGTGCGTCTATGGCTCAGCTTAGGGCAGAGGTCCTTTGTCGGCCCGGGAATCTCCCACCTCCACCCGCCCCCGCCAGCCCCTCTGGTTCTCAAGTTCAAATTCGAGGTGGTGAGGGATGAATCAGGGCACAGTGCCCTCAAACTCAAACTTCCCGATGCAACTCCTGCCACCATTACCTGGGCGGGCAACCGTTCGCCACCAGGTGGGGCAGGTCCCGCAGCGTCCTGTGGAAGCCACCCTGGACCTCACTGCCCTCTGCTTAGGTGCCCCAAAGCACAGCAGGACTTCCCAGGTACAACCTGCCTGGGCTTGACTGTGGAGAGCAGACCACACACGGCCCGCAGAGGCCCAGCCAGGTGTCCCTGCCCCCTGCGCCCACATACAACTGAACACACAGCTGCCCCAAGGCTCAGTGATTGCCCCCAGTCTCTGCCCCACAGCACCATGTCCCAGATGGGGGACTTCCCGTCTGTGGGGCTTCAGCTGCCTGCAGTTCCATCCACTGAGGAACTGCTCCTCCCAGAGGACAGGGGTCTCAGTGGGAGGCCAGAGGGACACCGCCCCTCGAAGCAATGGTGAAGATGGCTGTTACTTTTTCAGGGAAAGCACAGCCCAGTCTTCACTGATCTTTCTGGAAGCCAGCCAGCCCCATCAGCTGCAGGTGAGGGCTTCCTCAGGCCTCCTGAGGCCCTGCCCGTGGCTCCTCCCGCCTTCCAGGGACAGGCCAAGAGGCTGGGCCGCGCTACTGCCAGGCGGACACAGACGCCCGCCCTGCCACGCCAGCGTTTGGAATCCCCTCCAAGCCACAGGAAACACTGGAAACCTGCCTTCATTTTCCTCAAACTAAGTTCCCTCCCAGAAAATGACAGTCCCTATCTCTGTAAACCCAGAGCCCCCTCACCCTCCCTGTCCCTGCTACAGGACCCACCTGGCTGCCCAGGGGAGAGAATGTATCAGAATGTCAAAGGCACAAACCTTTCTTTCCAGCTGAAGATGAAAGGTGCTCACAAAACTCGGTTTAAAACACAGGAGCCCCACAAGGTACTGCCAGGCATTCGCGGGGGCAGCCTCCGCCTGTGAAAAGATGAAGGGTGTAAAGCCCAACAGGCTATCTGTCTCGGCGGGCACTCTGGGCACACATCCTTCTGTGGGAGATCCTCCCAGAGCACCCCTGAAACCCCCCAAACATAACAAGGTTTTGTAAAGGAATCTGAACAAAGGGGGGGAGACATGCATTTTACTAACCGGAAGCCTCCACAGATTTGCAGACACTCTGAGAAGCTATGAAAAATTAGAAGTTTCAAAAGATTTATAGCTGTATGAACTTTCTTCTTAATGCAAACAGAAATCCTTGCCTCAACTGCCAACATACATTTCCTGTTTGCTATATTCCTGTTAAGTTTCCATTTTTACTTAGTCTAAATTACAACATTACTAGGAGCTTTTTTTTTTTTAAAGAAATAACACAAGAACACTCCCTGAAGGGATCACAGTGTGACTGGGAGAAAACAGCAGTGCGAGGCCTGCTCTTGGGCTCTCGGGGTGTGATGGGAAGAGCACGGGAAGCGGACTGCGGGCAGGATCACGACGATCCAGACTCCAATTTCCCAAGCCACCAACTCACCACCTTTCCCCTAGGGCCACCCGACAGCCTCAACTGGCCACTGCATTGCCAGACATCACATCACAGAGCAGGTGGCAATCCCCTTGTTTCCCAGAACGAGCCAGTCACAGGCACACGCTACTGGGGTCAGCATGCGGCTTGTCACCCATCGGGAACTAGAGGTGTGGCCTCCGCTGGCGATCCCGATCCTCAGGTTCGTCTGTGGGCCCTGACCTACTGACGCTCCTTCCCTCTCACCAGTCCCTGTTGGAAATCCTAACTTCTGTCGGTTGCTTAGTACATGCTGGGGACTGACGTGACGTGACTGCTGGAATCGGCAAGCATCCATAAAAATCTTCCCAAAGGCAGCTACTGATATGCTCAAATCTACAATAATTTACTATGCTCTCAAAATTTTAAATTAAAAGAAAAAAAAGGTCACATAAATAACTAAAATCTTAAAAGATAGGGTATTTTTTGGAGGACCCAAAGATAATGCCTCTGGACTCCTACCTGACACCATACACAAAAATTAACTCAAAAATGGATCAAAGACCTACATGTATGAGCTAAAACTATTAAATTCTTAGAAGAAAAAAAGGCGTAGATGTTCCTAACCTTGAATTTAGCGTAGTTCTTAGATGTGACACCAAAAGCGCAAGAGAGAAGAGGAAAAGCAGGTGAACCGGACAAAATGTAAAACTCAGCGCTTCAAATGACACCATCAAGGAAGAGAGAACAACGGACAGAATGGGCGAGACTGTTCTCAAATCAGATATGCAAAATACACTAAGAACTCTTGCAACTCACTGATAAAAAAGAACAATCAACCACATTTTAAAATGGGCCAAAGATTTGAATGGACTTTTCTCCAAAGAAGATACACAGATGGCTAAGGAGCTCATGAAGAGACGCTCGGTGTCACTGACCATCCAGGAAATGGAAATCAAAACCGCAAGGAGATACCATTCCACTCCTAAGATGGCTAAAAGAAAAAACACAGGAACAAGTCTGATGAGGGTGTGGAGAAATCAGAATCCTCTTATATTAATGGCAGGAATGCAAAATGACCACATGACCCAGCAATTCCACACCCAGCAGTATGCTCGAGACAATTAAAAACACATGTCTGCACAAAAAATTGTACAGGAATGCTCCTAGCAGCATTGTTCATGATAGCTAAAAAGTGAAAGCATGAATGTTAACAGACACACAATGTGGTCTATCCACACAATTAAATATTATTCAGCAATAAAATGGAGTGAAGTCCTGATACAAGATACAACATACTCTTGAAAGCATTCTGCTAAGTTAATGAAGTCAGACAATGAAGACCACATATTACCCAGTCCCACTTATATGAAATGTCCAGAACTGGCAAATCTATAGAAAAAAAGGTAGATTACGGGAACCTAGCATTGGGGGGCGAGGGAAACTAGGTTTCTTCTTGAGGTGATAAAACTAATCTAAAATTGACTGTGGTGGTGGTTGCACAACTCTGTGAATATACTAACCACTATCAAATTGTGCCATCTGAATGGGTGAGTTGACACGGTATGTGAATCGTGTCTCAATAGTTATTACCAAAAAAGTTTAAAAGAAGATGCTGCCTCTGTCCAGCACTACTGACAGCAAACCTTCCTTGCACATGTCACACGTACAGATCAGACTGCACAAGTGGGCAGTATTCTCCAACTGCCATATAAACCCAGTGAAAAAGTCCCTCCTGAGGAGAATGTTTTAGAAGATGGGATAAAATTACCTATGGAGACCTAGCTTCCCATTCGCCTCACTATCTCCAGGGTAGCAGAAAACCAAAGCAACACAAAGGTATCTGAGCAGCCAAATAGAAATCAGGAGGCCCCTCCCTATGCAATTACTCAAAGGCACCCCCCCATCACCTCCTGGGCAGGGACTCACGGTTTGCTCTGGGCCACACAATGACAAGAGGTGAAAGACCAGACCTCCGCGGGGACCCACCAGCCCACCTCCCAGCTGGCTGCCCTGGCTGCCGGCTGCCCCAGGACATTGGCACACGGCAACGGAAGGCAATACCCAGGCTCAGTGATTCACTCCCTCAGCCATGCACTTCCTGAGCACCCACCCTGTACTGCACGGCACGACCAAAGGTCTGAATCACCAATTACATTCACCTAAAAGTATTTTAGAAGTTAAATCCAGCAAAATGCTCCAACTCAAAAGTCAGCTATAGCGAGAGGGAAGCTTCCAGTTACCCGGCGGCAGAATATCAAAACACAACTCTGCATCCCCTCCTCTTTGTTATCGGGTGGCCGAACGTCGCCCTGAGGCCTCCTCCTTGCTCCCGGAGTATCTGGGACCACCTTTCCCACCAGGGGGAGAGTCAGCCAGGATGGCCGCAACGCGCCGGAGCGGTGACTCACCCGCGGTCACGCACGGGAATGGAGGCAGGGGCGGGGGGGGCCTCCGCGGCCCGCAGCCCTGTGCAGCCCGCCTGGAGGCCGGGCCACGCGGGCAGGGCCTCGCGGTTAACCTGACACAGCACCGCGGGCCGACGGGCGCGGGCACCACCCGGCGGGGCGCCCGCGGGCGGTAGGGAGTCGTCCACGGGGCGACGCGTGCGGACGCCGGCCCACCCAGACCCTCCAGCGGGGGCCCGAGCTCCCGTAATTCTCTGGCGGTCGGAAGAGAAGCAGCAGGAACCCGGAGCGCCTTTCCGGAGAGTCCAGCACGCCCTGCGGAGGGGCAGCTCCGAACTCAGAGCCTCGGGACCAGCTGCGGCGGCGCGACGCCGCATTTCCACTGACCTGATTGCAACCCCCCAACCACTCGCCCCGGTAGGTGCGGGCGGAGGAGCCGCGGCGGGAAGAGCCCCGCCCGCCCCCCCGCCCGAGGCTGGCCCCTCGGCGACCCTCCCCCTCCAGCGCCCTAAAAGCCCGGGCACCCCCGCCGCGGGCCGAGGACCCCCTCCTGCGGGCCCTCCCCCCCACCTCGGGCCCCGGGCCCCCTCCTCACGGACCCAGCGCCCGGCCCCCGACCCCGCCCCTCTCCCCAGGCCCCGGCCCCGCCGCGCCGGCCCGGGGAAGCCCCGCCTGCGCCCCCGCGGCGCCCGAAACCGCGAGCGGAAGAGCGGCGGAGCCGCAGCGGCCGCCACTTCCTTCCCGTTCCGGGCCGGCGGCGCCCGGGAGCGCAGGAGAGAGGCCGGCGCTCCGAGCCCGGGAGGCCGCGCGCGCTCACCGCCGCCGGGGTCGGTCCCGCCCGCTCGGCCCCGGCTCCGCGGCGCCCGCAGCTCCCCGCAGCCCGGTCCACTTCCGGCTCCGCGGGCGGGGGCGGAGCCGCATCCGGCCCGAGAGGCCCCGCCCCCGGCAGCTCGCCCCGCCCAGCGCCCGGGCGCGGCTCCCGCACCCCTTCCCGGCCCACCCGTCGTGACCTGCGCCCCCAGCTCGCGACCACGCGAGCCCCGCCCCGGGAGCGGGTCTGCCACTCGCGCCTGGCGGTGAGTGTTCGCACACACGGAGATGTAGGACGGGGCGCCCGCTGTGTGCTCAGAGGCTGGCCCTCCGAGGCCACGCTGTGGGACTCATAGACCGGCCGGGTGAGAACGCGAAAGTGGGCCAGGCAAGGGGACAGTGCCAAGTCCACCCATCCATCTCTCCACGCGCCCATCCATCATTCATCTGCCCACCCAGCCTCCATTCACCCACCCATCCTTCCGTCCATCACCCACACATCAGTCTCTCCATTCATCATCCATCTTCTCCTGCAACCATCCGCCCTCCATTCATTCACTCCTCCCACCCGTCCACTCATCATCCATTCATCCATCCGTCCATCCAGAGAAGGCTGGGTACGTATCAGGGATTGAAGGCCCGCGAAATAAACATGGACCTTGCCCTCGGGGACCTTCCAGCTTCGAAGGGGAGTCGGGCATAATCCTATAGACATATTACTAGGGAACAAGATAAATGCCATGAAGAAGTCAAAGGTGTGAAATTATATTGGGCAGAAGGTGGGACCTGAACTCATCCAGGAGAGAGGAGATTTCTTTGAGCAATTAACATGTGCACCAAGATGTGAAGGTCAAATACAAGTAAACAAGGTAAGGAGGGAAGATTTTTCCAGGCAGAGAAAATAGCATGTACAAAGGCCCTGAGGTAGGAAAGGTCTTCTCCCAAAGGAAGTGAAAGAAGTTTCAGTGTGGCAGCAGTAGGTGAGGAAGCAGGGCAGTGGGGTGAGATGGGGACCAGGTCATGTAAAGGTTGACAGGGCACAGCAAGCATGTTGGTCTTTATTCTAAAAGAAATGGGAAGTCCTTGAAGGAAGTTAGAGATGAGACATCATAAAGTTTGAACTGTAATGAGATCCCTCTGGCTGCTGCCTGGGGAATGGATGGGAAGAGGACCAGGTAGGAGCCTAGTACAGCCGTCCAATTCAGGCAAACTGGTGGCAACAGGTTGACATGGAGAGAAGTGAACAGATACAAGAGACATTTAGTAAGTTGAACTGTCAGGTTTGAGGATGGATTGGGCCTGTGGGCTGGGGCAGGGGATGTCAGGTGTCAAAGGATACTTTTTATTTTAAAAAGAGATAAAAATCATGATTTCCATACACACATAAAATGAATACATGTCAAAGATTTTACTTAACTCAATAATGAATGAAGCTGTGAAGTATCACAACTTGTCCAAAGTTGTCTGCTTACAATTCCCATCTCCAAGGGCTTCCTAGCTGTGTGACAGTGGACAGGTATTCCACCTTTCCACGCCCCAGACTCCATTTGTGACACTAGCACCTGCATACTGCTCTTGTAATATGAAGAACAAATGTCATTTGATTACCCCAGGGCCTGGCATGCAAAAATGCCCAGTACTGTGGGCCCTTAGTTGGCAGTAACAGGCGGAGAAAGCCCACGAGGCAGGCCAGGCCAGGTACGGCATCTCTGTTGCACTTAAGCAGAGCTGGAGATCAGAGAATCTGGGTGCCCCACATGAAGTCACACAACCAGCGAACAGGAGATCCCAGTTATAACCACGCCTATGGGGCCTGGGGGCAATTACTCAGAGCACCCTCTTCCACTAGGGAAATTGTGGATACTTCACTTCTGCTCCCAGGCGTCCCCCAACCTCTCCTTCCCCAACCTCCACGGTGTAGCCCACCTCCAGGACCTCAGTGCACACCGCACGCGGCCCTGCTCCAGTGCTGATGGGCTCAGAGTGAGCACGTGCTCAAGCCTGGTCCAATGGGATTTTGCGAGGCTTCCGGGAGGGATCCGGAAGTTCTATTCTTGCCGGAAGTGGGGTCCTGTGAGGGCAGGGTGGAGGGGCCTCAGGGGTCTTGCTCTTCGTGGCCAAGCGGGGTTGCTCGAGGGCAGAGGAGCAGGATGCAGGCAGGGCCGAGGATCCCCAAGACCAGGTCCCCTGGGTGTGGGGACACCAGGTTCCCCGGCCGCCCCCTGCTGGGGTCCCAACCAGGAGTCCCAAGAATACCACGGGACAGGGCAAGAGCCCGCCTCGAGGAGGGGACCTGCGGGAGCCAGCGGGGTCCTGCCTTTCCGGGGGTTGCTGTCCCGATTTCAACCTCTAGGACTTGGAGCACCTGAAGTTCATTCTCTCGGGGTCTGGAGGCCGGAGGCCTGAGGTCGAGGTGCGGGCAGGCCTGCACCCTTAGGCACTCAGGGACGAGCCGTTCCTTGACTCTCGCAGCTTCCGGCGGTGGCCGGAAATCCTTGGCTTCCGGATGCGTCCCCTCCGGTGGGGTTCTGACGGCACGTGACCTCCTCTGCGGGTCCACTACCTTTCCCTTACAAGGAGATATGGGCCTGCATAAGGTGGTCAACTCAAAAAATAAAGCTGCCAGTTACTTTACCAGCAAAATGTGTTTATTCGGGAAACAGCAGAGAGCTGCAAACCAGGACAAAAAAACTTTGGCAGAACCACCAACAGGTTCAGAGAACAGAGCAGAGGAGGCCCTTTTATAGAAGAAAGGGAGCGAGACCGTTGGGGACTGTTCTAAGCAAAAGGTCCATTGGAGGAAACTGGGAGTCTCCTGTGTCACGGCTGCTCATTGGCTGAATTATAACCATCTCTCATTGGCTGGGCTGTTGCTGGGGGAGGCAGAAACTCTTCCCTCCTCCGACTGGGCGGTAAAGCAGCCATAATGGTAGGAGTTGTAAGGTGGTTGGTTGTCCCTTCCTGTCGGGTCTACAACGGACCAGGAGTGATGGGCGCAGAGCTCCCCCTGCAGGCCTCCCGGCGCCATGTCATGGAGACTTCCCTTGATCAGTTTCCACTTTTCCCCTTTTTGATCAAGGTCTTTCTTCCCAAAGTATCACTGATCAACGGTCAGGTTTCTATCTCGTGGTTTTCTCCCTCAGTGCTAGGAAAGCCCTTTACAAAACATTGATGGGAAACAAAATACAGAATTTAAAATAACTACATAAAAAGAAGCAACATGACAATTCCAAGTTGCGTGGTTGTCCTGAACCAGGACCCTAGGTCTGAAAGCAGCCAGATGGACTATTTATTGGCACGTGACCTGACTGAGGGCGGAACAGTTTCCGCGTGAAGCAAACACAGTCACGTGTGCGCTCTCGAAGTCCCTGCTTAAAGCGGAAGAGTGAATAGCAAGAGCTGTTGGCAGGAGCACATGGAAATAACTGGGTGCATGTGCATAGAGACAGTGCAGGTGTAAACATGACGCAGAAGCTCACGAACTTTTTTCAAAACAGCAAAACTTAAAGACATTTTCAAACAATATTGTTATCTCAAAAGAACTGTTTGGAGCCAACTGTTATCAATAATACAGCCTTTAAAGTTGCAAATACAGAGACAATGAATTTAGTCAATAGTTCGGATGATAGAAAGACTTTGTGAATTCTGACCCTTCTAACCTTTAGTAAAAGCTCACAGGATCACAGTGAGGCTGTTTCCCAAAGGCCATAACCAAAAAAAGAGGTTTCCCCTTTTGGCAAGGGTTTGGGAGACGCAGACAAGGTTGATTTCTTTCCATGAAAGAGTAACAGTGAGAATGGACTACGGGCCTGGCCCAGACATGTTGGGGAAGCTGTTTTGCCTGACGCCATCTGCTTCAACTCTGGGAAATCTCTATTTTCAGGTCAGCAGATGGAGTGCAGGCCCAGGGGGGTGCTGGTGCTCTCAGATGTCCTATGAACCTGAGTTCATTCTCTGGAACTGGTGGCCCAAGGCGGTTACCGGTTCCTGTCTCTCCGGGGTTGTCTTTTCCAATAGACGACATTTCCGGGCTAGGTCTGGTGCCTGAGGTGGTCCTCCCCGCGGAGTGCACCGTGAAAACCCTGCTCTGCCAAAGCACAGTCATTTCTGACAGAAGCCACGAGGCCTTTACGGTACTGAAGTATACATCTTTTCATCAGCTGCCCTGGACATCCTGGGACATCTCACACGGCGAGAGTCTGCGAGTCCCGAAGGGCTGGATCTGCGTCTTAGAAGGACCAACGGCAACACTTCTGGCCAAGGTGTTCGGATTCTCTGCACACTTGCCAGTTGAGTCATAGTCGTGCCATTACTGCCTGTGACCACCTCCAAGGACCGAGGATGGCATGTGTGCACAGTGAGTGTCTGAGTGTTGCAAAACCCGCCAGACAGCGCAGGCTAGTCAAAGCACCTGTCCAGTAAAATGGCATCCCCGATTGCTATGAAGTTTGAAAGGGGTTCCCCAGCTGGGGAATATCTTTCTGACTGAAATTTTTAGCCACTGAAGAACCACTGGACTGTCCACAAGGGAAAGCTTTGGTCTAGTAAGAAAACATACAAACCATGACAAAAACATATTTATCCACGAGGTGAAGGAAGCTGTATGAAATCCATTTGCTAAACTTTCAATGAACGGCCCACTGGGAAATCTAAAATGCCTGGGGAACATGTGAAGAGGCGGGACAGCGAGGTAAGCACTTTGTGCAGCCTTATCTCTATTTGCCTGCCAACACCGGTTCATGAGCCCTACTGTTCAGCAGACCAGAAGTGCACAGTTTAGAATGCCTGGTAGGGCCATATTGTTATTTGTTCCAAACCAAAGTTCTCTCCTTTTATGCAACCAGCAATTATGAGATTTCTAATATTGTTTTTCCTTTCCTAGGGCCAATTTTGGGCATCTCTGGTCAGCTTTTCCAACTACTATTTGGGAAAACATCTCTTTGGAACGTGATGGAGATTTGGCTATTTATTTCCTTAAAAGCAGTATTTTGGGTGGAAATTCCTGCAAGGTAGCCTCCTTTGGCCTCCAGGGAGTTGTGTCTAGAATGCCAGGAAACTTACAGCCAGAGCAAAGGTATGGCATCTAATAAATTTTGGATATAGGGGTCATTTGGACATTAGGACACCTCATTGTTTCCGTGATATGTCACAGCCGTGGGCTATCCCAGAGGCTCACCATCACTGTGTTTGCAGTTTTACTCCTGGCCTAAGGCACCACCTCCAGGGAGGACGAGTAACTCAGCTTACGGCCAAAGTAGCCAGAGGTACAGGTGCTGCCTTTATTATCTGAAAGAGAGAGTGGCTGCCCCAGAGGGGGGTGGGGTGGAGAGGGAGAGAGAGAGAGAGGGCAGCAGCGTGGTGCGGAGCGTGGTGATCCGCTGGGCCCGTTGCCTTGGGGGAGGGTTGGGATGTTTAGAGATGAGGTGGGGGAAGCCCAGCAAGCCCCAGGCATAATTCTCACCGGCTTCTGTGCTTGGGACCACGGGGCAAATGGAGGATAAATTACTATTTTCTTCCATTCCTCCCTTTTCTGCTTTATAAGTGGTAGGGGATTCGGGAAGGGGTGCAGGTCAGTCTCCAGTAACTGCTTCCTGCTCATTAGGGGCGATGAAGTTCATTTTTGTGTTGATGGGGTACTTGGTCTCAGATGAGCCCTTGGTCTGCAGTGGCGATGGCGTGTTCCAGGCTCAGTAAGGATGATCATCTTTGGAGAGGGGTTGGTCATCCTGTAATATAAGCTGGTTAAAGGTTTGGTTAGAAATGTTTTGCATTTGGGCTGATTGCTATGTTTACATAGGGTGGCTGAATTATTAGCATTCTTTGGGGACATATGTGTAGGCAGCAAAGCAACCTGTAGGGCAAAGGGAATCCTTGATGGCGCAATCTTTTGGACAGTCTGAAAGAGAAGGAAGGGTTGGCGTTGGGAAGATGGGTCTGGGGAGAGAGTAAGTGCTGAGACCAGGGCTAACAATCCTGAGGCATGACGCACGGCGGTTGTAAGGGGGGTCTTAGGACTCCGTGCTGGCAGAAGCTTCTTCAGTGATGAGTGGAAGTGGAGATGAGCAGCGGGAAATGCGGAGAGTAAGAGGTCCCGTCAGGGTGGAGGAGTAGGAACCTGTCGGAGATTTGGGGGAAGGGGAATAAGGGGAGACAAATGGCTTATGGTGGGAGTTGTGTACCTAGAGGGGAAGACCCTGGAGTTTAACTGCAGTTGGCGTGGAAAGGATCACTGTGTATGGTCCTTGTCATTTGGGAGTTAGGGATGGTGTTGCTTGGTGTTTGGAACGGGCATGGTTTGGAGAAGTTTTTTCCTGTCTATGGTAATGGCCTTGTAGCCTGGGGAAGGCTGAACTCCCAGGTATGTGACCTGAGCGGCAGACAGCTGACCTTTGGAGGGTGAAACCCGGTAGCTGTGTTCTGAGAGAAAGTGTAAAAGGAGAATAGTACCCTGTGGAGAGGCTTGTAGGGAGGGACTGTGCGGGAGGATATCATCTACATACTGAAGGAGGGTGGAGCTCGAGAGACTAAGGGATTTGAGGCCTTGCGCTAGAGCCTGTCCAAAAAGGTGGGGACTATCCCGAAAGCCTTGGGGAAGGACTTGTTAAGTGTTCTCTGAATATTAAAAATTAACTTAACATAAGGAATCTCCTGCCTTGATTTTTCTCTGGGATACCAGCGTCTTGGTCTGGGAGCGTATCAAAAGGCTGCCTGCTCGGCTCCCAAGGTGGGCTGCGGTCCTGTCTATTTGCTAAAGAATCCTGCCCTTTACCCTGCCGTCTGCAGCTGGGTCTGCAGTTAGTTGCTCAGTTTGTAAAATAACCTCATCAGATCTAAAGGAGGAAAGACAGCACAGAGGCCTGGGCCTTTAGCATGTTAAGGTGAATCTTACACATGATTATAAATGATCAGCATAATAAAAACATGTGCTACTCTGCTTTATCTGGGGAATATAAACTGATCTCACTGAAGAATGATTCTAGAGCTTAATGTTCAACATAGTTTTAGTGGGGGGGGGGGTACCTAGCATGTAGTTACATTGCTCTGACCGCAAATTCTCCCCTGTACAGATAGAGACTCTAGCTGCTCCTAGGGAAAGGGGGCGACAACCGCTCTGGCTGCTTCATGCTGAGAGGGGGCGCAGGAAAGGGTGCAGCTGGGTCTCCCTCACTGGTCAGTTGAGAGGGCCTCGGAAGGTTGGCGCTTCTATTCCGGGTTTCATTTCTATTACTATTTGCAGTTTTGTGGCTTCTAGGCAAGATAGAACAAATTGTTATTAGGTTAAGTAGCAACATCTGGAGTTGGATTTTCCATTCTGGAAGCATAAACTTGATGAGATTAAGAATGCATGGCTGAATATGAGAACCAGAAATATGAAGAGTCTAATTGAGAATCATAGCCAGGTATCAGGGGGAAACTAGAATTCTGGATCGAGTTTACATCTCAATGACTAGTACTAGGATTTAGTATAGATAAGACTGCATTATTGAAACAATACTTTTCTCTAAAATCACCCTCATTTTTATTAGAAGTAACCAGGTTAAGAAAATAATTAACAGTTGGCTTGATTATTTGCATAAGTGCAGCAAGAAGAGTAATTGATTACATAGAATCTTATAATGTGCTTTGCTGGAACTTTTATAAGGAATTTCAGATTGGACTTTTAAAGGCTTCTTGAGGCCAGAAAGCCAAGCCAGACTTGCCATCAAGTTGTGCTTGCAGTACCTGTAGATTTGGGTGAATTCCTCTCTTCTTGAGGTTCCCAAGACATTCCTGAGGTTCCTGCACCTGCCAGGCAGTGGCCTTCCTTACTCACCTGGTCAGGCTGCTGGGAACCCTGTAAGCAAGGTACCAGGCTAGTTTTTCTAAGGGGCTTTGTTGGCTTTATAAAGTCAATCTTAGTTCCTTAAAGCTGTCTGTTTGTATCTGAGTTTACACACGTGTCTCTCAGGTATGACGTTCTAGTCAAAGCCTTGGTATATAACCAGTGTTTTTAATTGGTTCTCTTACAAGGAAACCAGATTCTTATTGAACTTGTGCAAATAAACATACTGCCATGAAATATAAAAATAGTCACTGAGAGTTCTTAAATTCTGGAGGGATCAGGTAGAGAGAAAGATAAAGTTTCAATTCTGCTTACAGAGACAGTCATTTACTAAACTGTTGTCAGCTTAAGAGAAAAAGCTTAAAACACTTTATCAACAACTTTTGAAACAAAAAGCCACAAAATCATCTTCCTTAGTTTACTTAATCCTATGTAACTAATACCTGTTCTGCTGAAATCTACTTTTTTACTAGTTTACGAGTAATAAAACAGTGAGTATAGATGACAAAAGACTTACAAATGACAATGGTTAAAGATCTGATGAGAGCTTACTGTAGGACAGTTGTCATAAGGAAATTTGGATATTTTTGTAACACAAAACATTCAGTAACAAAGTTTAGCATCATTCTCTGTGATAGTGTCATCTAGGTAATTAAGCAGGTAATTATATATCAGATAAATAAGCCAAATTAGCCAAATACTTTCTCCAATGAGAAAAAATTCCTCTGAAATGTTCCAGGGGCCCTCTGGAAAATATCAGTTAGAGGTAAAAGCACTTTTGCATTTGATTTTGGGAAGCTGTTAAAAGTTTTAAGGCACTTCCTTAAATAGTTACTCACATTAGACAAAGCTACACTTCACTTTAAGCATTTTTCTTTGAAAGATTCAACAGATACCATCAACTTAAATGACTTTAGGTAAACTTAGGCAGCTGATAACCATAAGGACATGTCTATTCAGTGCAACTTAAGTTAGCATTAATGCTTAATATCTTCTATTAGAATTTTCTGGAAATTTTAGAATGCCCAATTTTCACAAGCGCTTGTCTCTAAATCAATTTTTATTAATACCATCCTGAGGTAGGAAAATATTTTTCATTTACACACTTAGACACACAAACATACAGATTGAGACGTCATGATACAGTGAGAGGACAGACAGAGCTCCTGGCGTGAGTCAGGAGGGGACAAGAGAGCCCGCGGTGGTGCATTGTCTAGGGGTTTTATAGGCAGTTGAGGATATTTGGGAACGTGAAAAAAGCTTAGGGGTGCGGACTTTAAGGCAAGTAGTAGGTGTTTAGGATTGCAGGGGAGACAGAGAGAGAGCTTGGTTTGGAGGTAGGAGAAAGCCTGGATATATAGGATCTCTTCCCATTTGCCCGTACACTCACAGAAGTTGTATAAGTCATGGAGAATTTTAGGATCTAAAGAGCCATTTGGGGTCCATTTAGACTGATTATCCAATGGATATTGTGACCAGATCTCATTACAGTAGCGAACAGGTCTGAGGTCTGGAGTGAGGTGGAGGGGCTTCAGATTATTGACTAAGCACCCTAGCGGTGAATCTGTGGGAACAGAGGGGCCAGATCCCATGGTGAGAAAGAGACCGTTCAGAAGTCACTGAGGCGTCCCTGAGTGATTGGGAAGGTCACGGAGAAGACCAGGCACAGTTAGGGGGTCGTCACCACCTCTAACTGTGGGGTCGAGGCGAAAACGCTGGGGAGGCTCAGTACCTGGTACCAAGAGTTTACGAGTAGAGTAGATACACAGATAAAGGGAGACTGGGCCTCAGTGGATGAGGATTCTCACCATGGGGAGGCAGTGAAGGGTCGACTATGGGGATCAACCGTGACTCTGAAAGTCATGGTTGGGGGTGCCGCTGTCCCGGAGGAGCCCTTGGGGGTGCCGGACACTCAACAGTCACTTCCCAGGTTCCAAAGGGACATGTAAGTCGATCATGAAGGGGAGATTCACCAAATCGAAGGCCGGTGTTGGGCGAGAAGATGAGTGACCCGGGAAGTGGACGGTGAGCCCACGGAGGAGGATCGGGCAGTGAGGGTTCCCAGAGCAGCTCAGGTTCCCGGAGGAAGAGCAAAGTCAATGGGAGAGCCTCATCCGAGTCACGGCACCAATGAAAGGGTATCTCACCATGACCCTCCTTACCCAGAATGACTCAGGAGACACGGGCCCACGCAAGAGACTTTATTATCTGAAGGAGAGAGTGGCTGCCCAGAGGGGGGTGGGAGTAGAGAG